CCCCACCTCAGAGGCCACCACGATCCGAATGAAGACCCCGTTTGGCGTCCCCAGGCTCGTGGGTGAAGCCCGCTCCGTGTTTTCGCCGGAGCCCCCAGAGAAAGGCCCCCTTGATGACCCCCATCTCTAGAGCCTCCAAGACAGGGGAAAGTGTTTCTTGACCAAGGCAGAGGCTGGGACCCAGGAACCCTGTGGCAGGACAGGTCCCTCTGTGGCCTCCAGATGGGCCCACAGCACATGCAAGGGCCAAAGCAGAGGCGACATTTTTTATGGAGTAAAGTTGGGGTTCCCCTGGCCCGTCTACTCATTTCATTCCCCGGCAGCAACAGGCAGGGGGGAGTCATTTCCCAGGCACCAGTGGGGGCAGATTCAGATCGGGACTGCAGCTTGGTCTCAGACTGAGATGGCCCCAGGTGGGGGCGTTATTTGCACCTCTGGTGGGGCTTCCCATGGTGGAGGTGTATCATTTGCCTAAAGCCATGGTCCCAGTCCGAATCAGGCCCCTGGGGCCCTTGGGGAATTAGTTTCCCTCAGCCACTGTCTGGCTGAGGAGATGAACACATTCAAGTCAGGGCAACCTGAAGCAACATGTTAAAAAATGGCATGTCTCCCGTGGCCCCCAGTGGTCCAGTGGCAACTGATTTGCATACCAAGGGACCCGCTTCAGTCCCTGGAGGGATCTCTAGCAGGTGATGTGAAAGGCCCTGGCGAGCCCCTGCCAATCAGAGGAGACGAGGCCGGCCTGGAGAGAGCAAAGATGCCACTCAGCAGAAGGCGCCTTTATGTCGGGAGGGGCCATGGCCGGTGCTCCCTCTAAGCTGTGGAGTCTTGTGAGCAAAAATTCTATCTTGTCAGCCACTGACATTAAAGTGGTGAGCAAGCGATTTGGCTATTCTGCTCTGGAGCCACCCTTCCTGGGCTAAAACAAAGATCTGTGAGCCGGAGGATAAAAAACTGCAAGCTAGCTCACACTCACTCAGCTTAGAGGGAACACTGGCCGTGGCTGACTGGCAGAGCCCCTGCGTGGCCTGCAGCGGGCCCCAGGCTCCATCCCCACCATCTCCAGCTACAAGGACCCGGCGGCACGTGGTGCGAACGATGCCGGAGAGGCTCTGCCAGTCAGAAGGGGCCATTCCGACCTTGACGGGCCGGGGCAGTTTCGTGTGCGTGTCCGTGCGAGAGGGAGCCCTTGGCAGAGGCCTTGGCCTGAGGGGGCTGTGGATGAGAAGACCCCCCTCCCTCTTGGCCTGCGAGGGGCTCCCTCTCCGGCAGCCGGGGAGGAGTCCTGCCTCCAGTGGGTGACCCTCCCCATCTCCTCCCCCCACCCCAGGAACTGCCTTTTCGACATGTGTGCAGAAGCCAACCGGGCCCTGGCGCTGTGCCGCACCCTGGAGCAGTACGTGTGGGCCTGCCAGGAGAAGGGCGTCACCATGGGCCACTGGAGGGAAACCACCTCGTGCGGTGAGCTCAGCAGAGGACCCTCCTTCGCTCCGGGTTGCTGGGCCTCAGGGCGCCCCGGGGCCTGCGGGAGAGCCTCCGCCCGCTCCCCAGGGGCCTCCTCCTCAGTGCTTGCCCTGCCATTCCAGGCCCAGGCTTGGGCACTCGCTCATTTACAAGGCGGCGGTGATCCCGGCCTCCTCGGCCCAGAGTCATCAGCAGCTCTCTCTCGCCTCTGCAGCCCGGCAGTGCCCCCCAAACAGCCGGTACAGCCTCTGTGCGCCTGCCTGTCCGGCCTCCTGCTCCAACCTCGCGGCTCCAGCCGAGTGCGACAGCCCCTGCCTGGAAGACTGCGAGTGCGTGCCCGGATACGTCCACAGCGGCTTGGACTGCGTGCCCTTCTCAGACTGCGGCTACGCCTTCCAGGGCATCTATTACAGGGTAGGTGGTCCCATCGGTTACAGTGAGGCCCCCCACTACCCGAGGCCTCGCCCGTCATCGTCGAGCACGAAAGACATTTTGAGCACCTCAGTATTTGACGGGGGCTGCGCAGTCCTTGTGGCACCCAACTAGCTACGGTGCGTGGCCCCCAAATGCCGCAGGGGCACTGGGTGATGGTGCCTCAGTTTCCCTGGGGTGAGCGTGACCCTTGGCCCTTTGCCTCCAGGCCGGGGACCGTCTCATGAACGAGGACTGCAGCCAGGTGTGCACCTGCACGGACAGCTCCGGCCTCTCCTGCTCCAAGGTGGCCTGTGCCCAGGACGAGACCTGCATGGTAGCCAACAACACCCGCGGCTGCTACACGGGTGAGTCGGTCCCTCCACGGGTGAAAACTCTCTCTGTGTGCCGCAGTGGGGGGCAGGACGTCGGGGGGGTGATGGGTGCCGGGGGACATCTCTCTGGGGTGGGCAGGGGGCCCACAGGCCACCAAGGGCCACCACTCAGAGCTGCTCTCCTCCTCCCCCCCCCCCACAGATGGCCCCTGCCAGTCGAATCCTTGCCAGAACGGCGGGGTTTGTGATGAAGCCGGCGGGACCCTGGGCTTTTCATGCACCTGCCCAGAATCCCACCAGGGCCCCCTCTGTGAGGAGGTTCGGCAGCCAGGTAGGACCCCTCTCTCTCCCCACCCACTCCGAATGTGGAACCGGCACAGGGGGGGTGACCCTGCAAGTTGCCCTGGGGTTCATTTCGGCTCCACCCTTGCTGAAGAGAGCAAAGCTGGCTCTGCCTTCCCCCGCCTTGGTACACCTTGTAGCCCGGAGGTTGCACATTCCCGTGGTGCGTCCTCAGCACTCCACCCGTGACCCTGGAAGCACGTCAGGGGCGTTCTGTTTGGGTGCAGCGGGTGCAGGCACCTCCTGGCCAGAGCCTGTGGCGTGGCGCGCCTGCCCCCTCCCCCACCTTTGGGCTTATTCTTAAATCAGTATTCAGTGCAGAAGAAGACGAGCGCACCTCCTGGGCAGTGCTTGTGCAGCTCACGGGGAGAGAAGCCACGCAAGGCTCCCTTGGCCCCCACAGCAGTGGCCGTTGGGCCGGCTTGAGCTGCGCCTGCTACAGAGCGACTCTGTCCCTGTCCCTGCTCAGCCAGCGCTGGGGGGAGGAGGAGACGGGGCCCTTTTCACCCCACTGGCCGCGGGCGGTCTAGCCAGCACACCGTCCCCCCGAGGGCCCTTCTCCTCCACGTCCTTCCTTTCTCAGAGAACATCACCGGCTACATCATTGCGGGAGTCGTGTCCGCCCTCACCTTCCTGGCCCTGATCTTCGGTGTCGTGCTGTATGCAAGATGCACCAGGTAAGCCCTTCCTGGGAGGAGGCACGAGGGGAGGCCACAGAGGGGAAGAGCGAGGGACTCCGGGCGGGAGGGGGATGGCCGAAACAGGGGCTGGAGGGGTGGAGCAGAAGTCATCGGTGGCCCCTCCGAAAGCCCCCTGGCCTGGAAGACACGGAGGGCACGCGGCACACGGCTTCCCCTCTGGACCCAGGCAGCTTGAAGCAGCTGAGCAGAAATACCAAAGAGATGACGGGCCTGATCCCTGCAACAGGGAGCACTGTCGCACACTGGGGGTAAGCGCCAGCACGGGCAGCAGAGGTCTCCGGGATCCAGGCCAATGTGCCCTGCAGCGCTGAAGGGCAAGCAGAAATCCCCCCCCCCAGGAGCCTCACGGAGGGTGGGGGGGCGGCACTGAGGAGGACACTTCGAGTCCCATAACTCCCCCTCCTCTCTCTCTCCCGAGCAGGAAAAAACCCTCCTTGGACCCCTCCGCCCCCTCTGCGCCTGCTCGAGAAGACCTCGTCTCCGTGACCAACCTGGCCTTCGAGAAGGATTAAGACCGGCGGGGCTCCCCGCCCCAGTTTTGCATTCGAACAAATGCCTCCTCCCACTCCCCCCCCCCCAATAAATAGCTATTTCCCCTCAGTTTTCTCTAGATGTTCCTCCCTCATGCCAGCCTCATGGGTGATGTTTAGATTGGGCTGCCCTCCCTACATTTTTGCTCCCTTTCCATTTGGAAACCATCACACACCGCGCTGCCCCCTTTCTCCGCCACTTGACTCTCAAAGAGCACAAAAAGAAAATCACTTTGTTTTCTTCAAGGAATAAAAGAAATTCAGGCCTGACTTTATTCCCACAATGTGGGTCCTAACTGGAATCCTCAAATGGCCCTTTTGTCCAGCTTCACAAGTACTTGAAAACCTAAAGTTAATGCACAGTAAGCTTGGAACAGATAAGAGGAAGTCCTTCTTCACCCAAAGAGTCATTAACACGTGGAATTCACGGCCACAGGAAGTGGTGGTGGCTACAAGCATGGATGGCTTCAAGAGGGAATTAGATAAGCATGTGGAGCAGAGGTCCATCAGTGGCTATGAGCCACAAGGTATGGATGGAACACCATGTCTGGGACAATGATGCTCTGTAGTCATGGTGCGTGGGGGGCAACAGTGGGAGGGCTTCTAGTGTCCTCCTGGCCCCACTGCTGGGCCTCCTGAGGGCACCTGGTGTTTTTGGCCACTGTGTGACACAGAGTGTTGGACTGGATGGGCCACTGGCCTGATCCAACTTTGACTTCTCTTATGTTCTTATGTCTGGGGCATTGGTGCTCTGTCTTCTTGGTACCTGGGGGGCCACAGTGGGAGGGCTGCTGGAGTTCTGGCCCTGCTGGTGGACCTCCTGATGGCCCCTGGGTTTTGGCCACTGTGTGACGCAGAGTGTTGGTGGCCCACTGGCCTGATCCAGCATGGCTTCACTTATGTTCTTATGTTCTTAAATGGGTGCTCTTTGCTTCTGCCTGTGGGCTCAGCTGCAGATTTTTAAGTAGCTCAAAACTGAGCTGGAAAAAAGTGACCAAGTGCTCAAATGGGGAATATACCTTAAATTCAAAAAGTAGAAATCAACTTGTTTAAAAAAATAGTCAGCTGTGTGCCAAAAAGTGCTGCAGCGGGACCCGTCCACATCTCCAGAGGGTCTTTTCCTTTTTGCCCAGAAAGAAAAGGTTCCTTCCCTTCCCAGTCCGTATCAGTGAGCGAGTCCTCCTCCTCCTCCTCCTCCTCCTCCACCGGCTGGCCGGCTACTTTTCCTCGGACTCCTCCTCCTCGTAGGCGGGGTTGACGTGGGTCTCTCCCTTGGCGGGCTCTGCAAAGTCCCTTCGGTTGACGGGCGGCCAGGCGGGATCCTGCGCCAGCTTCCTCTGCAACACCCGGTACTGGCTGGAGGAGCGGAATCGGAACAGCGCCTTGATCCACAACCAGAGGCGGCGGTTCTGCAGGATGGCATCCTGGGGGAGGGAGAGAGAGCGTTTGAGGACCGGGCCGGTTCTGGGAT